TTATTCTTGTTCACGTCTCTTCTTGTGTGCAACTGCTTAGATTGGCTAACACTAGGTCTCTTAGACGACCTAAATCTGCGAGCTGATCGGCTGCCCGTTAGGTATTTTAGACGACCCCATGTCGCATTATTCTTATGTCGACATAAGATACCTTCGGTTCATGATTGAGCTATTTGCGCCATATCAGCTTTATTATATACTCGTACACATCGCACGGACGGACTTGTTACTTAAAAGTTTTTTTAAAACCTTATATTAAACATAACTATTTATATTTAATATCTCATTATTGCAAGAAAAGAAATGAAAAATATGAAAAATTATATATTATTTATTTGAAATAATGAGTGTCCCAGCCAAACCAATAACATTCAATATATGATATATGATAAAATTAATTATATGAAGTGTCATGCTTTTTAAAATATGTATATATATATATATATACTTAATAAATATGAGATATTTAAGATTCACATTAAAAATTATAATTTAGATATGAGATGAAATGATGTGTACAAAAATATATATATATATATATATATATATATATAGGTAATAAAGAATCCACATAATATGAGATTCTTCCCAAAGTTTAAAAGATTTCGTAGTTAGATAAATATGGACAAAAAAATCATCAGTTAGGTTGAATAATCTGAAATATAAAAATTAATTTCCAAAATTAACATTCTTTATTAAATAAATACGAATTTTCAGTTGTGACCATAAAATATGAGATATATAGATATATTAATATGGAATGAAAAATATTTAACAATTAAAAGTTGACATGATTTTTCGGAAAGATTTCAAATAATTTCAAACGTTTTGTTCTTTAAATGATTGATCAAATTTTTGTAACCAAATTTACATGTCTGACCGAAAAAATTTAAGTAATGATTGATCGAATTTTTAGAAGCAAGATTTTTAAATTCTTTCTCATTATTGTCCAGATTTACCCGTATCATTTAAGGAAATCATTGCTCATATTGTTAGGAATTAAGTATTACACAATATCTTTCTCAAATAACATTTTTTCTAAAAAAAAATTTGAATTAGAATTTTCATAGCCGCCGTTTTAAAATAAAAAAATACTAAGAATAGTAACTTTGAAAATCTTAAGTGGCAATTTTAATATTATTTCAAGTAAATCTCTCTCTCTCTCTATTATATAGTCATAGATTCCTGGCCGAACCGATCGAACTTTACTGTGTTATATCAACTAGTCTCCTCCCTCCCCCCTCCCCTCCCAACACAACTCTAGACGAGCTTACTATGCTGAGACTCTTCTAAGAGTCTCGTCTTTTATGCTTTAAAAGTGACACAATCGAATTGTCGTCCCACTAATCGACTCGATCAATAACATCTGCGCAGTTCTTGCTCGTGATCGTGAAGTCAAGTCGGCTGACCGCTTGGTCATGAGTCGTCCTCGAACACGGATGAATTACAACTATCTTTGTGCCATGTGGCCGAGTTGCTTGCCTCTCCACCAGTCTATTCATTAATTCCCGTAATCAAATTTCACAATTTCCCAAAAACCAATTGGACGCGACATCCATACTTGTGCACGTCATCCATAATCTACCACCCGCAGCTCTCCCTTAGCCACATACCTCTTCAAGTCCAACCTCAATTGAGTCCACCGGTGCGCAAGGGCATTTGGGTCATGTATGCTAGGCCTTACACATCTCTATAGAATAATCGTCACCTGACCAATCCCTCAACTTTTTTTCGACCCCACGATTGGGTTAGATCTAATGGGGAATCTATAACGCAAACTAACAAAACTTTTATTAAAGCTCCACACTAGGACTTGATACATCCCCTACGTGCATGGTTCATGGTCAGATTCAACAACAATTTGCGGCTGTTCGACTTCCTCGTCAAGTTAGTTGGAACCACCTAGACTCGGATGCACTTTGTACTCGCTCAGAATCCACTATTTCGCATCTATTCTTACATGGATGCGCTAAGGGATCTCACACCCATCCGACAGCATACTCAGGGTTGTAACAACTGGGTACTACATGACTGTCAGGGTTAAAGTCTTTTTAGCGCTGGCTTGATCGCCCTAAAATTTCTTTATTCTCTAGGTCACATATTAGCTACAAATCTTGTAGCTTTATGTTTTACATACATTGATAGCTGCCTTGTATATATCTTGATTTTAAGCTTACTCCTGACTCTAGATATCCAACTTAAAGCTTGGCTTTAGGCCAATTTTATACCCTTAAAACTTCTCTAAGGGATCGATTCTTCTTGAAACACTCGCTCGACCTAAGCACGAGCTTTTTATATCACTCACAAAGAGGATCGTCCCCATCTCTAGGTGGATATTAGGCTCAGAGTCTATCCGCCTGACCTAGCCCTTTAGGCTTCAAGTCTATCGCAAGGTCAAAGTCTATCCCTCTGTCGTAGCCCTTAAGGCTTCAGGTTGGTTGCAGTGAGATGAAGTCCAATCTCCAGACCTAACCCTTAAGGCTTCAGGTCGATCACAACGGTATTCATGTCTACTCACCCGATCTAGCCCTTTAGGCTTCAGGTCGATCGAAGGGATCTTTATGACTACTCGCCCTACCTAGCCCTCTAGGCTTCAGGTCGATCCCATCGATCTTCAAAGTCTACTCGATGACCTAGCCCTTAAGGCTTTAGGTCGATCACAACGATCTTCACGTCTACTCTCCTGACTTAGCCTCTAGGATTCAGGTCGATCACAACGGTCTTCAAAGTCTACTTGCCCGACCTAGCCCTTAAGACTTCAGGTCTATCGCAGGCAAGCCTCATGTGCACCGGGTGAGTGGTGCAGGCGGGGGTCTCGGGATGACCTAAGGGCGCACGAGTCTCTCAGGAACACGCGGTCTCAGAAAACTCACGGGTCTCGGCAACGCACATTTTTCATCGAAAATTGACGGGATTTTTTGACGACTCTCTGAAATGCAAATTCCTACAGAATAAAAGGATAAAAAGAGAAATAAAAAGCACAAGACACCAAAACGACACGCAAAAACGAGCATACACGAACTAAACGGATTGGAAAAACCTAAAATAAACTAAAAACGGACACAAATAAAGCACTTAAAGGCACACAAAATAACAACAAAAACATACAAAACACGACTCTTCTTCTAACGTCATTTTGTTGATGGTCGGCTGCCAACTACAATTAAGCGCGGATTATGGGAAAGTTTAATCACGGGTTATAATGATAAATGTTAACGGTTTTAAATTAAGACAAGGGTAGAATGAAATAGAAAATCACACAAAGATTGGCCGATCTAGCTGGGGATCGGCGGAAAAATATTTTGTATATATATTGTGTTGAGCAGTATATGGATGTTACTCTACTCTAATTTTGGAGTGCTTGTGAGGGCCGAACTTATACATGAACAAAGTGAGAGTCAGCATGACTTAAGGGGCAACTAAGGTCGTAGGGAAGTGCCACGCGTACCCATGCAAAATCTCGCCATTTGAGGATATGAGACTAACTAGAGCGGTTGCTTTATCAATATGCTTTGTCAATTCATGTTCACACTATAGGGGGATCGTTAATCTTTGTGAGGAAAAAATAGGTTGAAACCGACACTTTTAGCCCGAGCATGGAGATCATCTCTTATTTGTGAGTGTTGGATTGACGATGTCGTGGTAGCAAGGTTTTCTTTGTATTTTATCCCTCCCGACTGGGCACAATTATCGATAGACTGAATCTCGTTCCCTATGACTTAATGGGTTGGCCCATAGTGGATACAAATTTATATATAATCTTATCGAGAAATTCGAGAAAAAGTTATGTATTCTCATAAGTACGGCTTGGAGGGAGATGTTTCATATCTTTCGAGATCCACCCTAGAATATGGGATAAACAAGCCAAAATAAGTGATTTTAGCCCTTATAAAAAGAAAACGGATTCTTAAACCCCATTCACACTCATGTCAGGCCGAGGTACTGCATCTGACGAAGTGCATGATTCACCCATATTTTGCAGATGAAGAGTATATTGAGGAGGATGATGACGACCAAGAAGAGAGCATCAATTTTTATCTTTCGAATGAATTGTTAAATGGATTGGCCCATAGTGGATACAATTTTATTTTTATGTATAGCAATATGTATTGTTATAAATTATAATTATAAACTAACGAGTCATTTATCGAACATCGATGTAAATTATTATATTAGAACAAAATCAAAACATTTATAATATATATTGCTAAAATTTATAATGATAATCAACCAGCTTTGAATTGTCATGTGAATTATTAGATTATAAAGAAAATTAAAAAATATTTATAATATACATTGTTACAAAAATAAAATAGTTTTATAATTTTAAAATAATATACATTATTGATTTATAATATATATTGTTATAAATTATAATGATAAATCAACAAGCTATTTTTCGAACAACGACATAAACTGTTAGCTAGAAAAAACATAAAATATTTATAATGTTTATTGTTATAACTTATAACGATAAATCAACCGATATCGGGTTGTCATATTATTTATTAGTTAAAAAAATCAAAATATTTATAATAGTCCTTATTATAAATAAATAAAATTAAACTATTGGAATTAAAAATTAGTAAAATTTATAATTTAAAATAATATACATTATATTCTTTTCAATAAGTGTCGGTTTATGCTTGTCACAACTTTTTCAAAAATATCACCTCTCATTTATTAATCCATTTATTAATCAAAATAATATATGGCAATAAAGTATGAGTAAAAAAAAGAGATAGAGAAGTATTTTGTGAGTACTATATATTGATAATATTAGAATATGTTAAATTTTTATTTTCTTTAATTTTAAACAAAAACTCTAAAATGACTGCAATTTTGATTAATCATGAAAATTTTAAAACTAACATAACAACTAATATTAATTTTTAAATTATTTTTATATTAATCAATATTATTTAATTATTTGAATTTATACAATTTATCATTATTATACATTTCATACTTACAATTTTGTTATTTCAACATCCACATTGCTTTGCAAGCACAACTGCTATTTTTCATTCCGAACCGAACGAGAGGCCCTTAAAAATTTCAAAATCATACCAAATATATCGAGATGGCTGTAAACCCCCTACCATCGCCGCAAGTGGCCGTCCACCCGGCGGTGCGGCCGCTGTCTTACTTGCTGGGCACGTGGAAAGGCCAAGGTGAGGGCCGTTTCTCGACCATCTCCCCTTTCAAGTATTCCGAGGAGCTTCAATTCTCACACTCCCCCAACAAGGTGCTTCTTCTTCTCTNTCTCTCTCTCTCTCTCTCTCTCTCTCTCTCTCTCTCTCACACACACACACACACACACACACACACACACACACACCCACACACACGTACAATTTCGCTCTATTTTAGCTTACACCCTCCCGAATTTGGGGGAAATTGAAACTGATTTAAGCCCTAATTTTTCATTTTGCGAAATCTCTATAGCCAGTGATAGGTTATTCTTCAAAGACATGGAAATTGAGCAGCGGTGAGCCGATGCACTCGGAGAGTGGGTATTGGCGGCCGAAGCATGACGGCTCCATTGAAGTTGTTATTGCACAGAGCACTGGCCTCGTCGAAGTCCAGGTACTCGGGTCAGTCCTGTAAAAAGGCAATTGTGAGAAATTTCAGCCCTGCCGAGCCTGATTGTGGTTGTTGGCTCAGTAGGCAAGCATTAGCTTGGGGGCCATTTGCCTTCTCTAGTCATAGGGTGATGATTGATTGTAGCACGACCTTTTAGTAGTGATGTGGTTCTGTTTCGAATGCTCGAGCGAATTGTTATGACTTGTTTTAGCTGGTTTGTGTGGTGTGGTATTATAGCTCCGGACAAAATGAGTAATATAGTTCACTATTGAATCGAATATTTGCTCAGTAATCATGCCAAATCTTCTCTTCTTACGCATGCCAGATTTTCATTTTCCATGTTTATCAAAGCTGCAGCGGAATTCAGAGCTCCTCACCTCTTAAATTAAGCCAATCATTGCATCATTTTTTAATGTGTTGTTAGAAATTTGGAATAGTGCGATGTGTTTGCTGTATATGTTTAATGTTTAGAAACACATTTTCTGTGGGAGTCAGAGGCTTGATATAATCTAAATTCTGTGAAGAACATATTCAAAATTTCAAATTGCTAAACCATCTTACGTATGCAATGTAAGATGCGCAGAGTTTTGCTTTCAATTGTTAATCTTCTTCAGAAATGGACTAGAAGGCTTGTACTATAGAATAAGAAGTTCAGATAATTTCATCTTGTCACCAAGCTATTGGGAGTTATGCACCTAGCTTACATACTATGGAAACCTCTCTTTTTGCATGCTTAAGCCTAGCTTTGTATGTTTTACATTTAACCCATTACCAGGCAGGAGCTAATTGTTACCTATCTTGAGTTTAAAGTGTTTTAACTGTTGGTCAGTGTAGGGTGTAAAATAATTCAGATGGCATAGGTATTTCCTAGTTCCATGGGGAAGTATCATAGAACCTGCAACTTACACATGCTTAATCTTCCAAAAAGAGTAAAATAAAGCTAAAAGAGCTAAGAACCGATGTGTGAATGGAATCAGCTCGTATTTAAGCATGAACATGAATACATGATCATCTTCTCCTATCAAGTGTCAAGTCTCGCAAAGTCTCGCAGGAAAAGAAACCTCATGTATTAATTTTCAACCTTTTAAATTAATTCTTACATTTTGTTTTTTTCCTTCTTATGATAAGGTTCTGATTGTTGTAGTTTCACATGTGTAATCAGTTTCATTTCCATTCTATTTCTTTTATAAGCAATGACATTTGCTTCGACTTTTCAGAAAGGGGAGTATGATGCAGAAAAGCGAAGTGTGAAGCTAAAGAGTGAACTTGTTGGGAATGCTTCAAAGGTTGATTCATAGATACTTTATGCGTTCAATTTCATCGTATCATTCATGATCATTTTTAATTAGAGAACATGGTTTGTTTCTGTTGGTGAATCTTGATTGACCTCTTGAATATCTCTATTTTGAGACACCTCAACTTTTGAATTTGCTGTTGTTTAATAAGCGTTACGAAATCCAAGGTTAACAGAATTTTGTGGTTAAACATTGGCAAAATGGCAACCCACATTAAAGTAATGCTTTATTTATTATATGGTGCCAGGTGAAAGAGATAACTCGAGTCTTTGAAATCGTAAACGGTGAATTGGCTTACGTGGTTGAGATGGCAACGAATCTCACAAGCCTACAGACACACTTGAAGGCCGTTCTCAAGAAAATTTGATGCAACCTCACCAGGTTCGTGTTAATAAATATAATGAGATCAGTTAACAAATGCATGACGCTGCTACTGCTGTTGTACATTGTGTTAAAAAATGAATATCAATTATGATATTATTGTGACACATTGTTTATGAAACTAATAAATAACAAATATACATTAATTTTTTCCTTAATTCCATCCAATATACTATGCTTTATTCTGATTTTATGTAAGTTACCTTTTATAAAAGTAAATATATGTGAGTATAAAATGGGCAAAAACCACACTGAAATCGGTCTAGGGTGGCCAACAGTAAAAGAACTCCATGTATAAAAGAAAAGAAAAGTCCATTAAAAAAGCCAAAAATTTGGGTATTTGCTATTTTCCATGTTCTTTTCACAGTTCTGAAAATCCGGCAGGGAATCGGTCTACTTACCAGTCTGATTCTCTTGAAAAAACCAACCTGTCAAAAATTGGTCGGTCAGACCGATTCTTGTATTTATTTTTATTTTTTAATAAAATTTGTTTTAATATTTTTAATTATATTTTTAATATAAAAAATACATATTTAAATATTTTTGATATGTCTAAATTATTATGTCAATTAGTTTAGGCATTTCAGTGTTTCAAATTAACAAATATATATGAAAAATATTATTATATTTGGAATTTGTTACTTAAAATGCTATACATATATATTTAAAAATACTTGTAACTTTTTTACCGGTCTAACCGAGTTCAACCATTGGTCAGCCTAATGAATGATAGTGCCATTAGCTTAACCGGTTTGGTTATCAGAATCTAGGTTCTTTTTGAAAAAAAAAAAAGAAAGAAAAAAGAGAACACTTTATTCAAAATAATGAAATATGATAATTTTTACTTGCTTGTTTGTGTTTGTTTGCGTTCTTGATATTTACATTCAAACTACCGAAAATGAATATTAAGGCATTACCACTATAGTTTGCTATAATAAAAAAAAAAGTGTGTTCTAGCTTATAAGCAAATGGCATGCATTAGGGTGAACATGTGTCGGTAGAGTTCGGAGAGTCATAAATTTTTGGAATCATATGAAATTTTAAGATTACTAACATTTGATCTTTGGAACCGTACCAAAATTGGAACGGTTCGATTCAGATATTTTTAATTTTTCGGTTTGGGTGGGGGATATTGGTACAGTTCAGATGGTTCTATTTGGATTTCTAATTATTTTCAACAAAGTTTCGAATGACTATCAAGTCATATTTAAATATTTTTTCCAACTATCATAAATATATAATCATATTAAATATTTTATTTTAAGACCAATACTAATATACAACTAAATTAGAATTTTAGTTAAAACTAAATTCTTGCAATTAATGAGAGAAATTTGAAATCCTAACAAAATATAATATAACTAGTACAAATCCCGTGTGATGCACGGGTAGGAGATGTTCATTAATATTTATAAATTGAAATTGTTCATTAAATAATATTATAAATTAAAAATGTGGAATCAACATGTAATATGTAATATAGTTTACTTATATTAATTTTATTGAAAATGTTATATGAAATGTAAATTGTGCAAAGTTACATAAAATTTGTCTATCTAAAATTGTTATACAACTTGTACAGTGTATGTAACTGATAATAAATTACATTATATTTATTTTAAAATAAGTGTCATTTTTAAAATTTTATTCAAAAATTCAATTTGACTACAATGTGGTTCTATAAAATAATTATTTTGATAGAAGTTTATCATATATTAAAAAATCTATGTAAATAATAAAAATAATTATAAAAGTTATATTGTTTCATTAATTAAAATAAATTTATTTTTGTATAAGCTATTCAAATAAAAAAATTAAGCAGTTGAATAATTTATTAAACTATAAACAATTGAATATTTCATTTACGTCGAAATTAATAGTGACTCATATGTTATGAACAATTACTTATTTGACTTTTAGATTTGTTGTTGGTTACCTTGTCATTAAAATTTATCAATTAATTCTCTAGAATTAAATTATAAATTTTGACTTTTATTAACAAAATATTTTTCAAAGATCTTACTGATTTTAAAGAGGAATACATGCAAATTTATCGAATTATCATCAATAATTCCAATTTGTCGAATTATCATTAATATCTTATGACAAAATATTATGAGAATATGCTGAAATTTGAGAATCATATCACTTTGTGTTTATAACAAAGCAATCTAAAATTTGATTTTCAAACACACACTAAATAAAATTCATACCAATTATTTTGTTTTCAAAATTTTCAAATATATTTTTATCCATACCAAATAAAATTCATACCATCTATACTTATATAATAAGAATTAAGATTTATCCAAAATAGTAGGTCAAATTATGGTTAATGTCGGATTTGCATTAAATATTTTCCAAAACTGATAAGTTTTTGTCCTTTTCACACTTCTCATTAATTATGTCCTTTTCACACTTCTCATTTATTATGTCCTTTTTACACTTCTTATTAATTATGTCCTTTTACACTTCTCATTAATTATGTCCTTTTCACACATCTAATTAATTCATTAATTACGACATAATTATCATAAATCATTCCATCTGAACTTTTATCGTTAAAATGTATAGCAATCTGTTATGACCTTATCGCATTGATATTTCCATGAAGCGTCCTTATCGCGTTCTATTTTTTGGTAACCACTCTATATCAATAATCGGATATTTGTTTAATGATAGCACACGTCTTTATTTCAAGGAGCGGATATTCTTTGACCTTTAATTAATCTGAACTGATTGTCTTGACTTTTCAATTTTTAAAAACTCTTTTTTTAAAATATTTCGGCTTAAGGTTCGAATTTCATTATACAAGTCATCGGATTGTTTGAATGAAAATGAATGAAAAGAACACATAAAACAGGTAGCCTTATTCATATAACCGATCTCAAAATATTAGTTTGTTCACCAAAAAGAGACAAATCCTAGAAATCCTAAAATATTAGTTTGTTCACCAAAAATATTAATTTGATTTTTAGGATTTCTCTTTCAAAAATATTAGTTTGTGATAATGAGGAATTATCAAATAATCAAACTCATAATGTTATGTACAAGGAGGTTTTTAATAATATATGATTGTTACCGAACTTTTTATGATTCAACAATGTTCCTATGTATTTTAATGATTTCAATTTCGATCCTAATGCACGTGAAATTATATTATTCTTCCAACATCTGTGCATCGCACGGGTTACATATTAGTTTAAATTATGACATTTCATAACAAAATAAAATAGCACATTTTATACCATAAATTAGGATATTTATTAATAACAACAAATTTTCTACAAAAAATGGTCATTAGATACCTCAAAATAAAATTGCTTACGTTATGCCAAAATCCGAGTTATTAATTTTGTTAACTTTATATCATAAATTGATTATTAAATTTTTAAAGGCGCAATCTTTGTGGGTTGGTTAGATATAGATTAATTCAATAATTTTCACTAAAAATATTAATTCATAATTTTGCACTGAAAAAAAAAATGTTAATGCATGCTTAAAATCTGCACCAATATTATCTCATCCCAATTTATTTGAAATCTTTACATTGAAAAAAAAATGTTAATGCGTGCTTAAAATCGGTACCAATATTATCTCATCCCAATTTATTTGAAAACTTATTTTTTTTAACAAAATTTTCAAATACACTTGGATCCATAGTAAATAAAATACATACCATTTAAATTTGAGTATTTCATGCCAAAGTAAAATCGTGCACTTTAAATCATAAAATCGAATATTTATTAATAATAACACATTTCCTACTAAAAATAAATATGGCCATCAAATACTAAAATAAAATTGTCCACTTTATACCGAACCCGTATTTATTAATTTTGTCAACTTTATACCATAAATCGATTGATTAATTTCTAGAGGCCAGATTTTTTTGAAATTTTTCAAAAAATAATACCAAGTTTAGAAATCTTAAAATTTTTAGGCAAAATTTTAGTTNATACATATATAGGTAGATCCGTAGATGTGCATGTTATACTGAATTTGTAAATTATATTTTTCCGTATAATGAATTCTTGTGATCCTCTCTTTCTTTAGTCTTATATTAGTTGTCATTATATTGAATTTGAAGATAATATTATTAGTTTCATTGGACAATCTGTGCTTACTGTAATTATATTAGTTGTTTACTGTTACAATTTATTCAAAATATCAATATAAATCATGCAAGACTCCAAGTGATCAACAGACTAACACAGTTAACCACATAGCACCGATAATAACACTCACGGTATAAATTTTCCTGTAATTACACTATTAACACATTTATTGAAAATATTTGTTTTCAATTTTATATATGGAAAAGATATTAATGGATTTAAAAAAAAAATTATGTGATTTATTACCTTAATAAATCAGCCGCAATTACCTAAATTCAGTAAATTGTACCTTTAAAGCATACCATAAAATGTTTAAATAGTTTTCAGATTTAGTAAACAATATTTTTTTGGCGGGAAATAGTTGTTATTTTAAAAATAGTCAAACCTTTTTATATAGATATAGATTTTGAAAAAAAAAAGTTATTTCTCTATTTTTTTCTACCGTTTTAACTATAATATAAAATAAGAGTAAGGAAAGTAGCAACATATGTAATACAAATAATTCTTTAGAAAATATATAAAAAAATATTAATTGTAGGTCGAGTATTATCAAGTATGAAAATTGAGTGAAGTTTAATTGTTCTTGCCATATTCTATTTATTATCTTAAAAATATTCAAATTACATAGGACTGACTAATTTATTAAGTACAAGACATAATTTATGTTCTTGTTCGGATTTTTAACTTCGGTTTGATACAGTATGGAATGATACTGTTTGGTCCTCATTACGAATATTTATGAAATCTTTAGAACCGTACCGATTATTTTTTAGCTCGGTTCGGTTTTGAAAAAAGGTGAAATGAACAACGGTTACTTTTCGATTTAGAGTAATTTTAGTTCGATTTTCGGAACAATTCATTATTCTCTGAGTCCCTTGCCGCAAAAAACTACCGTTAGTATAAAAAATGCTAAATCAATTTGATCTGCATAATTTATAGAAAAAAATTATCATTTAAACACCAACAAATTAACATCACAATGGTGAAAAAAAGTACTGAATTTTGATCAACAAAATAAATTGTGAAGTGTGAAGTTTACCTGTAAATGTAGAAAGATAACAATGATATAATTTGGAGTGGTTTCAATGAGCAAGCATTTTATTTGAATTCATTAAATTGTATATATTTCTTTGAGCACAACAAATACATTACAAAAAGTGAAGTGCGTTTTAGTTGTAGATCCAACT